GTTCAAGTGGAATCATGCACACAGAAACAACGCCAATGAAATGAAACCTTTATACAAAGATATGATTTCCTACTACCGATTCGAGAAAAAAAACAAAGAACGGATATTGCGTTGAAATGCCACACACATCATAGGCCACATGCATACAATCCATCCTAATGTCGGCGATACTTTCTACCTCCGAATGCTTCTTTTGTGGCCGCATTCTCGAAGTGTAACATCATTCGCACACCTCCGGTCCATTGATGGTGAGCTTCACTCCACATTCCAATCGACATGCCGTGCACTATGCTTTCTCAACGACAACACACAATTTGACGTTGTCCTCTGTGACACAATCTTTACAGCATCCTCAACAATGGTTCGTGATCTCTTTGTTCATATCATCCTACATTGCGCACTCGCTGATCCCAACGGATTGCTCGAAACACACGGAGCAAATGATCGACGACTTCCACTAAAACCTTTGTGTCGTCAACGCTCAATTTCCTATCATCAAAATAATGTTTTTGCTCGACATGGAAAATCGACTTCAAAAAGAAGGAAAACAACTGGAAGACGTTGGTCTACTCTCACCGCCTGTTGCCTATCGTGAGGAAATAAATTGCCTTGTCGAAAAACCACGCCGACAAGACTTTCCACAAATGATCGAAAACAAAATTTCCTACGATAAACAAACCCTCCAACGTACTCTCGAAACAAATCTTTCGCTTTTGTCACTGCAATCGAAACCAATGAACCGTTCTGCCTATTCGTCCATCACAACATGTTGTTTTCCACCGCGTTGTCACTGCAATCGAAACCAATGAACCGTTCTGCCTATTCGTTGATGCACCAACAAGAATTGGTAAAACTTTCTGCTTCAACACAATCCTCGTAGTTATTCAGGATCAAAATCATGTTGCGTTGGTTGTCGCTTATAGTGGCATTGCCGCTACTCTACTTTACGGTGGTTGCACCTTCTACTCTCGCTTCAAAGCTTCTCTCAACCCGACTACAACTCCCACACTTGATATCTCCAAACAATCAACATTCGCAGATCTCATTCGAATGACCATCATGATTGTTTGGGAAGAAGCACCAATGATACATAGATTCCACATTGAAGACCTTGACCAAACACTACGTGACATTTGTTCTTCTCAATCCCTTTTCGACGACAAAACAATCGTGCTCACAGGTGACTTCCACCAAATTCTCCCTGTTATCACCAAAGGAACACGAGCACAAACAGTTAATGCATGCATTAAATCATCTATCCTCTGTCAACACTTCCACACAATGCAACTATCGAAACATATGCGCGTCCTGACTCAAATCAATACACATGAAGGCCACCAATATGCCGAATGGCTTCGTAAACTTGGAAATGGTGAACTTGAACCACCCCCAAATACACACCCAACAACCGTTGAACTTCCCGCACCCCTCTGTTCAGGTGAAGGCACTCACCCACTGACTGCTTGGACATTCCCGCACCTCCAAACAAATAGTCAAAATCCACAATAGCTTAGCGGAACGGTTGATCCTTTCACCCACAAATAAATTTGCCTCTGCCTTCAATTCAATCATCCTTGATCAATTTTCGGGTCCTTTCGTCACATCACTCAACTCTGATTTTTTACTTCCCAATCAACAATATCTAGATGTTCCCACGGATGCTCTCAATGCAATTGACATCCTGTCACGACCTTCACATGTGCTAAGCATAAAAAGAGGTGCCCCGATTATCCTCTTGCGCAACATTGCCATAAGAAACGATCTATGCAATGGTACACGTCTCATTATAGACTCCATTACAAATAATAGACTACTCCATGCACGTGTTCTTCCATCACTTCAACCAATCATTATCCCACACATACTCCTCACTATCACAGACCAAACAAGCTCATTCCCTTGGCAACATCGACGATTTCCTATCCGGCCGACATTTGCAATCACCATAAATAAATCGCAAGGCCAATCAATCAAACACGCAGGCATCAACCTCCAACAACCGCCATTTGCACATGACCAACTATACGTCGCTGCATCAAGAGTCGGTGATCCTGCACATATTCGCTTTGCAATCCCTGTTGCTAACAACCAAACAACAATAAAAAGAACAATTGACCACAATCCTAACTCTCTTCTTGCTCTAATGTATCATGCAGGTCATACTGAAGAGATGCGGCTCGAAAAAATACCAATGACTTCAGCTGTCACCACAGCTCCATCCACAACCACAGAAACACCAGTCCTTACCATCACTCCAACTTCTACCAGCTCTCTTGCCACTACTTCGACTTCAACCATCAACATTTGCTTCAAGCTCACCACTAATGACTACATCAACTACTCCAACTACAAAACACTCTCCACCACATACTGCCTACATTCCATGGGATCCTTGGGTCCTTCTTATAAACAAAGACAATGTCGAACATATCATCAACCAATTTTTTTGGGAAGATTTCCTAGACACTGATCATGCTGCATTCCCCACCCACTTGTACGACTTTTTCTGCATCTACGAACAAAATCGCACACATGCACTTCGGCGTCCGGACCTCTCCCCAAACATTAATCTCCAATTTGCTCACGCAAAATCTTTCTTGCTAAAGATCGTGAACAATGACTACGACCGAATGCATTCCCCTAGAACGCCTCGACCGCAATACCAATATCACCGTATCACAACAGCCCACTTTAGATACTCTTTCATCACCTCCACTCCACCACCACAACACCCTCCACTACGATCCCACACGGTGCACGAATATGACCCCCTCTAGTGGCTTCCACTCGAACCTTGGGGTGCAACACATGCGATCGCCCTCATTCATGATTTGCTCGCTTCACGTCACACATTCGGCATCTACAACATTCCCCACACACCGCGCACATGGGACTACCGTAATGATCCAATCTTCCTTCACCATTATGACACACTACAACCCCTGCCTCCCTTTCCTACATACAGAGCAGACATTGTTTGACGCACTCTTACAATTCTTCAAGCACACGGACCGCCACGACGCTGACCAGTGCAGAAGACAACAACCTCAAATATGTCGAAGGCAGGACTGCAGTACAGACTTGCACACGACATGCCACAACGCACCAACAAGGACAACAGCGGCTGTCACACAGGAGTCTTGGGGCACGTCACTTCATGACAGAAACAAAGCAACGACTGAGACGAAGAACATATTTGCAACAAGGCGACCAGCGGCGCAACATCATTTCTCGCAACCACAGGAGCGGACACAAAGAGAGAGAGAGACAGAGACCAAGACACAGAGAGACAGAAACAGAGAAACTGGGAAATTGGAGACGATCACACACACAGAGAGAGAGAGAGAGAGAGAGAGAGAGAGAGAGAGAGAGAGAGAGAGAGAGAGAGAAACAGAGTTGCCACACTCAGTCAGAAACAGAGAAACTGGGAAATTGGAGACGATCAGAGAGAGAGAGAGAGAGAGAGAGAAACAGAGTTGCCACACTGTGTCTATATGTCATGTTTCCAAATGATTTATGAATCACACTTTTAAATCTCTCCCTTCATGCAAAACAAATGAGACTCTATCTCTATCATATTCAATGCATGCCACGACAATCTTTCTTTCTCTGCAACACCTGCGCTGCGGCGGGTCCACTTGTTCTTGTTAACGAGATGATGGAGGAGATGATAAGAGGGAAGCAGATGAGGGAGGTGTTGAGAGGGAGATGACATTGGTTCAACTTGTGTTTACCTTCTTATCTTTGTTCTTCAAATCTCTTTCTCTCTTGTTGTGTTTCTTCTCTCATTCTGTTTCCTTTTAGTTGCACTGGAATTGACATTCTCTTTGGGAGCTCTTGCATTAGAAAATCACCAGGGATTATAGCGAAAGTGAAAAAAAAAAGAATAATTAGGTAGAAGAGCTTCACACAGGAGAAGTCTCTTGTCAATCGGACTGCATGAGATGGTAGGGTATACAAAGATGACTCTAATCACCATTTGGATCTTGATTCTCTAAAGATTCCATCGTTGAAAATGGAACAGCAGAATTGGTGTGACATCATGGACGAGGGCGCAAAAATTTTTGCAACACCAACTTGACCAATACTCAGCTTAATTGGGCAGGTGAAGCCTCTAGAGGACAGGAATTTCCAGTACAAGGTTAATGAAACAGATCTGACAGAGCTTTGTAAATGAGAAACTTACCTGTGGTAAGACTGTGGTGGAGGAGGAGGAGGAGGAGGACAAGAAGAAAGAGGAAAAAAAAACTTAGGCCGTTGCAGGTGAGCGATGACCACCTGACTGATGCCTCCCAGACCGATTGGCTGGTCGGCTGATCTGGAGCCAACCAGTTGGCAGCTGACTGTCAGCGGTGCAGGAGTGCATGCATTGTGTGCAGTAGGTCTGAATGATTCACATTTCAGTTCACATCATCTGATGATCATCATTCGCACATCCAAATTGCAATAAGTAAATGAGATGTGAATCATGCACATTGTGGTGTGAGCAGACGTTTCTCACATTGCAATCCACATCATTATCATGTCACATCCTGAGAAAAACAGCTACATAGAACAGCAGTCGATAAACTGTGAATGATTGATTCACATCATTCACATCGGGCTGATTACCATTATAATGTCAACGATTCGCATTGCAATTCACATTACCATTCACACAACCCAACAAACGGCTATATGGAACAGAGTCTATTAAACAGCCAAAGAGTCAGCGTAACAAAAAAGATCAAGAATCCCTGATTTTTCATTCAAGCAGATATCGTAATTTCTCAAAGGCTACCATAGATTTGCCAGCAAGAGGGAACACGCGCAGGATAGACCACCCGTCAGTCAATGCTTCCTCACAAGGAGCAATCAATGCTGCTACTGGGGGAACCTTTGGCCACAAACGGAAAGAAGTGTTACACGGTCTGTTCTCTGTCTGGACTGAAGCTCCCTGGAGCCATTGGCCCTGTTTGATAAACAAAAAGAGAAAGGAAAGGAATGCAGGACAGACAAACCTCAATAAGCCTTCCATGCCAGTAGAGGAACATGCCACAGTTCTTCAGCTTCTTTTCACTCTCGCTGAAGCCAAGGAGTGCCTGGAGCTTGTTTCCATCAAAATCTTTCTCGACCACGGTTTTCTTGGTTAGTGTCAACGCCACTGGTTGTATTGTGACCTGTGCTAACAAAAGAGTCACAGCAGGCAACAAAAACGAGGAAAAGAAGGGGAAAAAACTTTCAAAAAGTACTCTTCATAGTGGTAACATGATAGTCCTGGGAAAGTGTTCTGTCAGTGCCAAAAAAATCAAATTAAAATCAAGAAACAAAAAAACGGAACAAAGGCTGAAGAGGAACACAAAACGGTTGTCTGCATCGCAAATACACTGGAGGTAGGACTTGCATCTGGAGAGAAGAGATGTGCTAACTTGCCTTTTTGCCTCTTATGGTCAAACAATGGTCACCCATACCTTGTTGTTTTGGGGAAGCTCTGCTTAGGCAGTGGTAAGAGATGTCAGCACCTTCCGAAGGGCCAGGCACCTGTCCTTCAGGCCCAATTGCAATTCCCCCAGCAAGTCACAATTGCATACAACATAGTACACCCGCACGCTTCCTTCCGTACGGCCGAAGGAACCCTGACCAGCATTGATTGCTCCTGATAGGAGGATTGACTGTCAGCTTGCCATTCCCTGAATTCCCTCTCAGATTTCCTTTCTGAAAATCTGCCATCTAAAGCTTCAAAAAAACAAAGAAAACCGAGAAACGACAGAAAGGTTGCTCTTGCTCTTGGGTAGCTTTGAGGATTTTTTATCGTCCTTATGTGGTCTGTTGACCCTGCCGACCGTCCGAAGGGTGGAGTCTTGAACTTCTCCAGCTCGTTTCCGAGTTATGCCATTCTTTCCACCGTATGTTGAAGTCTGTCAACTCTAAAATTTTCCTTCCCACCAGCCAAACTCTGACAAACTTGGATAGGATACTCTGTTTCCGGTCTTCGTCTTCAGGCAAGGAGTGCCTTGTCTTGTGCCATTTGCATAGGATC